GAACTCACAGAGATCCGCCTGGCTCTGCCTCCCGAGTGCTGGGATTAAAGGTGTGAGCCACCACTGCCCGTTTTTTTTGTTTTTTTTTTTTTAAGATTTATTTATTATGCATATGATATCCTGCCGACATGTACCCCTGCATGCCAGAAGAGGGCACCAGATCCCACTGTAGATGGTTGTGAGCCACCATGTGGGTGCTGGGAATTGAACTCAGGACCTCTGGGAGAACAGCCAGTACTCCTGACCACTGAACCATCTCTCCAGCTCCTCATCGTATTTTAAACTGCTTTTGGGGGTGGGGGAGGGGGAGATTGATTTATGGAAACAAGGTCTCAGGAGCCCAGGCTGGCCTTGAACTTGGTACGAAGCCTGAGACTGTTCTTGAGTTGATTCTCCCACCTCTGCTTCCCAAGTGCTGGAATTACAGGCTTTTAAGTGAACAATGACATTAAATAAATTCACATTATAGTGCAACCACCACTACCACCTGTCTCCAGCACTTTCTCAAACCAAGAGTCTGCACCCATCAAACACTGGTCACCTCTATTCTATTTTCTATCTTTATGAATTTGCCCATTCTAAGGACCTCATATAAAGTGGAATTATACAATATTTGTCTTTGAAACTGGCTTATTTCACTTAGCACACAATGCCTTCAAAGTTCATCCACATTATAGGATGAATCAGAAATACTTTTCCTTTTATGGCTGAATAATATCCCATTGTATGGACACAGCACGTTTTGTTTATTCATTTACCTGTGGATGGATAACTGGATTGTTTGTGCTTTTGACGATTTTGAATACTGTTGCTATAAACAATGTGCAAGCTTTTGTATGTCCATATGTTTTCAATTCTCTTGAGTAGCAGAAAATATTTAGTTGAGACTGTAGAGTAATTCAACAAGTAATTTGTTGCCCAGAAACACATAACTTGACATTATTCAGTAATGGATAATGACCTTTGGGACTCCGTCTCCTCACTAGAGGAACAGATGAGAAAGTTCTCATTGAGGATGAAGGGTAGCTGCAGCTTGCAAGCAAAAGCAGGAAGCCCTTAGTGTTCTCATGCGGAAGTTCAAGTATATGCAGAAGAGTGTCCCTGGTACCTGGATGCTGGGGCCCAGTGGATGAACTGTACCTGCTACAAAGACATCCTCTCTCAGATCCAAACCCACGCCACTACACTCTGTGAGTCCAGGAGGCTGGAACTCTGCCGCCATATTTCTCCTGTGACAGTTAGCTCTCTGCTAAATGCTGCCTGTGAAGAGGGAGGCACTAGAGGGGAGCCCAGGAAGAAGAGACACACCCCTTTCTGTTTGTCTGCTGTTCCTGTCAGGACCTCCATGACTGTTCAACCTGGTTCCTGGCTCCCGCTTTCCCCCAGATGACCTAGAATCCTCATGCTTCCTTGGATATACCAGAACCAGCTGGCTGTGATGCCTACTCTTCCCCCTCAGGAGCGTGGGTCTCCTGCTGGGCTGGCAAGTAAGGCTGGCAATGGCCCAGTACTCCACACACCCTCATCAACCCCCTCCCGAGTCTTTTTTTCAATATTTGTTTGCCAATCCTTTTGATTAAATTCCGTCTGTTAAAGTGGATGATCCTGTTTTCCTGGTAGAATCTAAATGGGAACCATCAGTCATACCTCTCAAAGAGGAGCTGGCACTGCCTTAGATAAACGTGGCACCAACACAGTGCTACAGACGGAATGTTTGTGTCCTGAAACATTTACACGTGGAAATCTTTATTCATTCATTCATTCATTCATTCATTCATTCATTCATTCATTTGGGTTTTCATTATAGGGTTTCCCTGTGTAGCCTTGGCTGTCCTGGAACTAGCTCTGTAGACCAGGCTGACCTTAAACTCAGAGATCCATCTCCTTCTGCTTCCTGAGTGCTAGGATTAAAGGTATGCGCCCCTTTCCTGGCCTCCATGGGCATCAGGCACCCACTTGGTGCATATACACACATGCACACAAAAACACTTGTACACATAAAATAAATCTAAACAAAAATTAAAACCAACATGAAATCTTAACCTGCAGATTGGGGGGTGGGAAGTAGGTGGGACCTTCGGGAGGTGGAGCCCTCAACAGGACCAAAACAGATCCCAGAGAACCCTTTCCCCCCTTTCTGCCATTTCAGGAGACAGGAAGACGGCTGCTCAAGAGGGCTTTCACCAGACACCCAGCACCAGCACCTTGCTCTTGAGACTCTCCAAACCCCAGAACTAAGAAAAAAAATAGCCACTGGGCCTATGGTTTTTATTATAGTAGTTTGAATAGACTAAAACAGATAGTATACCATGATGCAGAAACAGGCATATTTTATTGTCTGTCTATCTATCTATCTATCTATCTATCTATCTATCTATCTATCTATCTATCTATCTATCATCGATCTATCTCCTCTATCATCTACCTCTCTATCTTGTGGTATTGAGGATTGAACCCAAGGCTAGGCAAGTACTCTGCAACTCAGACATCCCAGCAGCCCTGTATATTTTAAATGCTTTACCCATTTTCCAAGCAGAGCTCTTCGTTCTTCAAACACCTACAGCAAATAGAAGAAAACAGGGTCACTTTGGGCATCGTGGTTCAAGATGCCCATCATAAGCAAAACGGTTAAAGGATCAGCGAGTTAGGATTCACCATCTCACCTGAGAATGAAGAGACAGCTTGCATTTCCGAGAGGTCGCTTTATTTGTTTATTAAATGGCCTTGAACTCTCTATGTAGGCCAAGGATGACCTTGAACTTCCAGCCTTCCTGTCTCTACTTCCAGCGTGCTTGGATTACAAACTACACCACCATGTCTGGTTTATGCAGAGCCAGGGATCAAACCCAGGGCTCTGTGCATGCTGGGCAAGCACTCTATCATTAAACTACACTACCAGCCCACTTTACTTACTTTTAAGCCAGGCAAGGCCTCTTTTTTTAGTTTCTGTGTATGGGATAATTCATACGAAAGAAGTAGCCTATCCTCCCTTCTTTCTTTCTTCCTAGCCTCCTTCCTTTTTCCTTTTAGACAGGGTCTCTCTCTGTAGCCCAGGTGGGCCTGGCCCTCACTTTAGAGTCCAAGCTGGCCCAACCAACTTGATCTTCCTGCCTCTGTCCCCCAAGTGTTGGGGTTACAAGTGTGTACCACCATGACTCACTGGGAAATTGTTCTTTAAGAGAAATGAAATAGGGAAGAGAAAGAACACGGACAAATAAGAAAATGGAGCTCCTGGAAGTTTTCAATATTAATCACATAAGAACTTGTAAAATATATAAATAAGCAGTTCTGTTTTCACACATGTGTGTGTGCGTGTGTAGAGGCCAAACAACATCAGGTATCTTCCCTAATCTTTTTCCAACTTATTTTTTGAGGCAGGGCCTCCCACTGAACCAGAAGCTCATCTGCTTGGCTAGGCTGGCTGGCCAGCAAAAACCCTAGGTATCTATCCTGTTGTTTCCGCATCCTGGACACTGAGATATAAAATTAGTAATTTATATATGTGTGCCTCTGGGCTTACAACTTTGTGTCTGCATACGTTTGCTCTTATACACTATTTTGGACAAACCATGTCATACTTGTTTGACACATCCAAGCAGAGTGCTGGTATAGCATATCACAAGTACCCCAGATAGTACATTCCAATGGGTGTGACTGCAAGAACTGATGGCCTTATGGATGTTGCAGTACAGTGAGAGTGAATGTATATGTTGATATTTTTCTGAGCCTCAGAGCATATGTAGATTTGAGCATGGGAAGGGGAGAAGACCAACATGGGTATATTTGGCAGAGGAGGGGTTATGAAGAGAAGAAGAGAGAATAATGAACATATGTGACTGTGTCTCCCGCGCCAACACAGACACCCTCTGTCAGCTTTCAAATGGGGATCGATGTTACAGCTCTTGAGCCCTGCAGGCATGTGCCAGCTAGGAGAGGCTGTGCAGACCTTGCTCCTTCCTGATTGTGGAGGATGAGAAGTTGGCTTTATGCTGCCGGCAGGTCAACCTTTCCTTTTTCAGACTCTCACACTCTGGTTGTGAAGGGCACATTGACATGGGGGCTGAAATAGCGGCTTCCACAAGTGCATGAGAAGTCTTCACTCTCCTGTCCAAGGAATCTCATACACCACATGTAGATACTTTTTGCATATTAGAGAAGGAAAAAAAAAAAGACTCTTGCCTCTTCCCACCCCAGTCACTGCCACTGGGATGCTATGGTCCTACAGCAATGACAATAGATAAATTCAGGATTTCACATGCAAATACAAGAGAGTGTAGAAAGCACAGAAGAGACAAAACTAAATCTGGATTCAAATATTTTTGGAACTCTTTTCTACCAATACCTCCTCAAGCCAAGTCGCCAATGCTTATGCAATTCTGATGCCCAGGGCCCCTCCCCTTTCGGCTCTACTCATGCTCCCCAGGGGCTGGAGAGTATCTGGTTTTTGTGTTTTGGTTTTTGAGACATGGTTTCTCTATGGAGCCCTGGCTAACCTGGAACTCATGTAAGTTGGCCGCAAAGTCACAGAGATCCACTTGCTTCTGCCTTTCCTGTTCTAGAATTAAAGGCGTGCTCCACTACGCCAAGTGTGAGTGTCTGGTTGTGTCTCTAGTAGTTTCTGTTCACTTTACCTCCCCATACAGATGAGAAGCCCTTTCTCTCCCCAGAACCAGCAAGAACAGGGTTCATGGCAGACTCTCAGCGACACTGCCGGTCAAACAATGATAATGAAAAGGTTTCTGAGGCACAGGAGGTCAGAGCGGAAAGAAATCCTAAAGAGGGGCTGGAGAGATGGCTCAGGGATTAAGAGCACTTGACAGCTTCCAACAACCTGAACTCCAACTCCAGGAGATCTGACACCCTCTTCTGGACCCTGTAGGCACTGCATTCATGTGAACGTACCCATACACACATATACACATAAATAAAAATATTAAAGTAAATAATAAAAAACCCTAAAGAGCTCTTTCTTCAACTTCCTTATTTTACATAGGACAGACAGACTCCCATAGAAGTGACTTTGTTCACATTTTTTAAAAAATATATAAACAAACCATTGGGTCTAGCTGGGCAGGGTGGTACAGGACTGTGGTCTCTGTACTCGGAAGGCAGAAGCAGGAAGACAGTAAGTTTGGGGCACGATTGGGCTAACTAACAAAAAGAACAAAGGCCAAGCATAGCTTCACTCCCCCCGCTTGGAAAGCAGAGACACAGGAGGATCAGTGCAAGTTTACCCTCAAGTACACAGTAAGTTCAAGGCTAGTCTGGCTTACAAGAGACCCCATATCCAAAAAACAGGAAAAGGAAATGACAAGAAGGGGAAAACAAAGGAATGAAGGGAGGGAGGGAGGGAGGGACTCTGGTAATGAACTACCTAGTCAGCTTAACTCTGCATCTTGGTTTTTCACTATAATCGTAGTCTTCTCCATCCTGGCTGCCTGGAACTTATTATAGAGCCTAGAGGGCCTGGAACCAATCTTCTCCTGCCTCAGCATCCTGAGTTCTAGGATTGTAGGTGAATCCCACCAACCTTGAAGCCCTAATGTCTCGTGGAACTTCTTCCAGTGTTCTGCCTGGCGTGGGAAGAAGACTGGGTCTTGATATCATCAGTAAGTTTTCAAAAGGGGGCTGGGCTGCACCGTCCTATTGTTCCCGGAGGGTGTGGCTCCTGGTAACAAAGGGGCACTCACGGGAGAAGCAGAGTCCACAGAAAGGTGTCAGGAAAGGAATAAGGTGGGAAGTGGGTTCGGTCACGCAGCAGGTTACCGCAAACACAATGTCTCAGTCAGACCTGGTGGTGCAGGCTTGTCATCCCCGCTACTCAGGGGGCTGAGGCAGGAGGGTCACAAGTTCAAGACCTGTCTAGGCTACAGAGTGAGTTTACGTCAGCTTAGGTAATTTTGTGAGACTATGTCTTAAAAAGTAAGAAGAAGGATGGGGGAGGGGGGGAGACAGTGCTCAGCGACAGTGTTTGCTGAGCATCTGTGAGGCCCTGGGTTTGAGCCCAAGCATTGGAAAGAAAAGGAAAAACCAACATCTATTCAGACTTCAAGCAAGCCCAGGCATTCACAGACAGTATCTCCACTGAGGAGGAGGAGAGGGAGAATAATGACCAAATATCTCAGTCTCTCCTGCTTGACACATCCCGACTCAGTCAAGAGGACTCCGATCTGGTTGAGTCTGCTTCACTACTATATATATATTGTTTGGGGCGAATCATTTTGCTGTCAGCCCTCAGTTGGACTTGCACTCGTATACTCCCTGAATTAGAGTGAATTATCATTCCAAAGACGTGCAATCAGGGTCTTCATTTTTTAAGAAGCTGGAAGACAGACTATCTCTTCAAAATGGGAATATTAAAATGGCTCTTCTCGCACAGACGGCTGCAGTCTGTTTATATCACAGTTTACCCACAGCCTGCTGTTAAGTCAAAATCCCTTGGTTGTTATTTTAGTCTGTTGACACTGCAATTGCATATTTCCTCATGTGACATCACTGCAGTGGAGGAGGGAGCTATTTTGGAAATCCTAAATTATGATCGACGGATGGCAACAAGGTGCTGCCTCCCAGAACACCCTTTTTACAGGCACCATGGGACATGCGCGAATCACGCACCAAAGAAATGGGGATGTGCACTTTTCGTGTTTTTCAATTATATATATTTAAGGTGTGCAACATGATGTTTTGGGATGCATATACAAGAGTGAAATAACGGCTCGAGTCAAGGCAGTTATCCTGCCCATCCCTGTCCACGGTTAACTTTGCGTGTGGGGGAACGTGATCCTTCTAATTACAACCCTGCCTGGCAACATAGGTACTATTACAATACTCTCCCCTAGGAATCCTCCGGGCCCAAATTACTCTGTAATCTGCTGCATTTGCCTACCTTGATGATGCTTTTATTTTTTTTTTAAGTTATCTAAATTTGAACTCAGTCTCCCTGCTGAAAACCTGCTGTGAAGGTAAAATCCCGAGTCTCTTATTTTAGGCTGAGTTAGTTATTATGTATTTCACATTCTACTACAGAACAGAGGAAAGACAAGAATTACAAAACAAAACAGAGGGCTGGAGATGGAGCTCAGCAGGTAGACTGCTAGCTTAGCACCCATGATGCCCTGGGTTCAACCTCCAGCTCCTCGTAAGTGGGGCTTAAAGGCAAATTCAGGAAGATTAGAAGTACAGGGTTATCAGTAGCTACATATGGAGTTCAAGGCCGACTGGGCCTACATGATACCCTGTCCCCATAGAAGGGGGATGGGTGCTAAAGAGATGGCACAGTGCTTAAGATCATGTGCGGCTCTTACAGGAGACCTAGGGTTCATCTCCCAGTACCCCAGTAGGGTAGGGCATAACTGTCTGTAACTCCAGGTCCAGGGACGCTTCTGGGCTCCATGGCCATGGTCACCTGTGCTCTCTCTCTGTCTCTCTCTGTCTCTTTCTCTCTCTCTCTCTCTCTCTCTCTCTCACACACACACACACACACACACACACACACACACA